CTTGGCCTGGTTCAGAGTGGCAGGGAAGAGTTTGTGCTGGCTTCTCTTCGCTGCCCTGTGCAGTAATAGTCCTTTGCATTATGCCTTGGCATATTCACCTCACACAGAGGACCTTGCAACAGGCTTCTAAGCTAGGCAGGCATTGCTCCCACATTCCAAACACGAAGCAGAAACATTTCATCTTGAAGCAATGAAAGCTATAGTTCTGGGGGAAACTCTATGCAACTATCTTTTGAGTGCGCATGTCTAGAGTTCACTGCAGAGGATAGGCTGGAACATAGAAACACAGAAACAGAGCAAGTCAGAAGGGGCCTCCCGGGCCATCTAGTCTGACCCCCCCGCTCCAGTTGGCTCTGGTCACGACGTGCCCACCATGTGCATGTCCAGCCTATCTTTGAACACCTCACCAATGTGGTCTCAACCACCTCCCGTGGAAGCCCATTCCACACCCTCGGGGTCCTGACTGTCAGGAAGTGCTTCCTGGCATCCAAATGGAACCTTGTTTCCCTGAGCTTTGCTCTGTTGGAGCGCGCCCTGCCTTCCTCTGCAGGGGAGAACAGGTCTCTACCCATCTCCGTGTGACATCCCCTCCCATAACTGTATGTTGCCAACATATCCCCTCTGAGTCTCCTCTTCTCCAGGCTGAAGAGACCCAGTTCCCTCAGTCTCGCCTCATATCCCATTCCCTGCAAACCGGTCACCAACCTTGTGGCCCCGCGCTGCACTGACTCTAACCTGGCTAAATCCTTTCTGTAATGAGGGGCACAAAACTGAGCACAATACTCCAGTTGCAGGCGCACCAGAGTCATATAGAGTGGTAGTAATACCTCTCTCGATCTAGAAGCCACACTCTGGCTATGCAACCAAGGGTGGCGTTCACCCTCTTGACCACCGCATCACACTGCTGACTCATGGCAGTCAACCAGCACCCCGAGGTCCCTTTCACAAGTGCTGCTCTCCAGCCACTTGTCCCCTAACCTGTACTTATGACAGCTATTCCTATGCCCCAAGTGCAAGACCTTGCACTTATCCACATTGAACGCCATCCTGTTGTCTGCTGCCCACTTCTATAGTCTGTCCAGATCCTTCTGGATCTGGAGTACCTGCTCCTCGGTTGTGGCCACTGCTCCAGTTTTAGTATTGTCTGCGAATTTGATCAGCAGACTGTTCACTCCTTCTTCCATGTCATTTATGAAAAGATGACATGGATCATCTTTTCATGGATCTTGAAAAGGGGCCGATCCAAACAGGATCGGCCCCAGGACGGAGCCCTGGGGGACCCTGCTTGTCACTGGCCGCCATCCCAATGATTCCCCACTAATGGTTACCCTCTGCTTTCGGTCAGTCAACCATGCCCTCATCCATCGGACAGTGCTTTGATATATCCCAAAACTCCTCAGTTTCTCCACCAGGATATCATGAATGGAATGCCACAACTCATGTTGGAAGCTGCAAGCCTTTTTCGGTCTAAACATGCATAGGTTTGTGTCTGTGGGCTGCAAACCTATTCACCCTTCCCTGGGAATCAATCCTATTCAGCATAATGCAGGAGTAAGTCACTTGGCTTGGAGTGAAGCCTCAGCCCCAGCACACTAAACAACTCCTTGAAAACCACAGTTCTCAGTACCAACAGAAAAGTACTTTATAGCACTGCAGCTGCTGCAAGGGAATGTGCTCATTTAAAAGAAGAAATGGGAGGGGAAGGACACCTTGGTCCATGCCAAGAGACTGGTCTGGGGGTGCACTGGTACCCATGGACATCATGTTGGCTACCCCGTGGTTTTGGAACTTGCTTCTTAATAACCAAGCATAGCTTCAAGGGTAGGCAACCTGATGTCCTCCAGCTGATCTTGACTACAGCTCCCATGACCCCCAATAACTGGCTGCGTGATAGGGGTGATGGGAATTGTAGTCCTTTGATGCATAGGATTACATTGCTAGCCATTATGCCGCACCAGCTCTCTGTACTCGGCTTAGGTTAGCGGGAGTTTGTGGCATCTCTCTCTTACCATCTCTGCATTCCTTCTCCCTCTCATGCACTAACTTGTGATTTCAGAATCCTGGTGGAGGAACAGGATCTTGGCAAGGAGAACCAAAACAGCAGCAAGTCCCCAACAACGACCCAAATTACCATGCAAACACTGAAACCAGTCGGGCGTGTTAAATCTGTTGGTCAGATCTGAGCATTCACTTCCTTTGAGAGCTCCTTGGAAGCCTCCAAATCATGCTCTCTGAAAACCTCAATGAACTGTGACTGACATTGAATAATTTACTTAATTCATAATTCACAGTTCATTAATTCATAATGTGTAATTCATTAATTTTTGACTTCTTAATTTATAATGTGTCATTTGTAAGTAGCTTATGACTCGCATACTTATGGAACTTTCCACTATCCACTGCTTGGTTCAGGAGACAGTTCAAGCAACGGGGCTCCCTGGCTAGGCTGAGCCACCCACCACACTGCCACCCGCACTGGGCCAGACCTGCCGTTCTAGCAAAGGCTGCCCAAGAATTGCCCTGGCCTAGTTCTCACCGAGGCGGGAAACCACTGCTGCCACAGTGGCTCGGAAATCAGGAAGGATCAGGCGCACGCCCATCCTCCAGAAGGGTAAGGAAGCAGGAGAGATTGAGAGAAGTCTGCAGTTATGCCACTGTCCCTGCCCACGACACGGGATCCAGGTGAGGACAAGCAAGGAAGAACTCTGTTCCAACAATGATTAACCCACAAGCCCAGTCATGCAAGGAGTCACATTGCTCTCAGCAAAGGAGGAAGTGCCCAGAATGTTACAGATCAAGTGGGCAGTTGGCGGGGGGGTGATGGAACTACTGGTCTAATGCATCTGACAGGGATCTGTTCAGGTAAGGCTTTTATGCCTGTTATGAGATAGGAGCTAGGAGCCTATGTCCTACCTTCTATGACTTTACTCAGCATTTTCATCCTGATCCTGCTTTCCATTCTCTATTGATACATTAGCATCTTTGTACAGTACTGCTTTATTTCCCCTCTCCCCTCCCTGCTTCATTCTATCAACTGGCCTGATGCAATGTTCTGGAAAACTGTTACAAGTGTCGCCTATCTATGGACTTTTGCATTAGTTGGTATACCATATAATCCATTGGTCTGGCATTAGTTGGTATACCATATACCATTGGTCTGGCATATAATCTGGCTCCGATTGAAGTGCTCTGCAAGAGACCTTTTTACTTGAGGGCCCACAAGGATTCCCTCATAAAGATATGCCTGCAATATTCTGAGATTATTTTATTTAGTTTCTACACTTGTAAAATGCTGGCTGGAGAATGCTGAAAATTTTAGGACGTGCATAGGATCACACTTTAAGTTCTTTTAGTAATCTCTGGTGGCACTTTCCCATGCTTCTTAGGGTTTGTTTGTGTAATCCCAATGCATGTATCAGGAAGCCAAACCCCATTCCAGCTCGGACACATGTTTCAGAGTGCGAATAATTGCAGCCACGCTCACATCAAATGATGCATGTCTGTTCGTGAACTGGCTCCTAGCTGGTCACATTCTGGTCTTCCAAGACCTTGCAGCATCTGGGGCTATCCCACATCACTGTCTCCCCCAAGGTGTATGAAGCAGGTTAACCTGAAGTAGTTTATCTTGCCCAAGTCCTGCAGAGGACACAACCAAACCCAGGCATGTTCATGGAATTGTAAACCCCTCCTCTTCTATCACCAAGTCACTGAACTGTTGTGAGGGTATTAACCCACAACCCAAATGTGTCCCTATTTAGCCGGGAGTGTCCATTTTCTGATACCATCTGCACTACGTCAATGTGAGCCAGTGTGGTAAGGCGGTTAGTGTTGGACTGGGGACCCAGGAGATCCGGGGTTTGGTCCCCACTCAGCCACGGAGCTCACTGGGTGACTCCCGGCCAGTCAGCCACTCTCAGCCTAACCTACCTCACAGGGGGTGGCTGTGTAGATAAAATGGGGCTATGGAAGCTGTCTTGGTTTTCTCACCAAAGGGGAAAAAAGTGGGTATGAATGCAATGCAATAATGATGATACACCCAAAACTCACCCTTCCAACCTAAGAACTGCCTCCTCAGATTGTGTTGCCAAATGTGCTTGAGCTGCAGCCATGCAATAGCACACCCGTTTGCAGCCGATGGCCTCCAGATGTTCTGGGCTTCAACCCCCAGAAACAACACACAAACAAACAAACCCCAGCCAGCCTGGCCTGCGGTCAGGAATACTGGGAGTGGTCTTCCCAAGCGCCCGGGAGGCTCCAGGCTGGGGAGGGTTGCCCCAGAGCAACAGCCAGGCTCATCACGAAGTTAAACGTCCCCCAGCTCCAGGGTGTATTAAAGGGAGGGGGAGGGGGAGGGGGGCGCATTACGAACACAGCAAAGCGCGAAGCGTGGGCAGGACGGGGGTGCTTAAGTAGCAGCCCTCCTATGGGCCTCCGCAAGGGTCCCGGGCGCGCGAGTTGAGCGGCAAGTACCCCGCTTTGTTGCCCCAGGCCTGTGCAGCAGCTCTTCGGACGCGAGCCTGTTCATGCTCAGACCGGAAACACATGTCCTACCACGTCCAGACATCCCCAGCCAGCCCGGAAAAAAGCCTCCCGCTCCCAGAGCTCCCGAAGGGAGGGGGTTGTAGGGCTTTTTCTACCCAAGTAGGCAGAGGCTTTCTCCCGCTCAGCACGCACGGCTTGCCCCGCGAAAGGAGCAGGGCCGGAGAGCCGCCTTCGTCCCGCCCCTTCCCCAATTCCTTCCCCCTCCACCCAGGCACCACGTGCGGGTGCTCGGGCTCCGCCGCGCCGTGCGTGCTCGCGCCCGCGGTCTGCAGGGCTCTCAACTCTGCCGCCCTCTTTCTCCTCCTCCTCCTCCTCCTCCTCGCCTCCTCCTCCCACCCCCCCTCCCGCCCCGGCCGCCTGGAATGAAGATGGTGGCGAGCGTGCGGGTGCAGAAGCTGGTCCGCCGGTATAAGCTGGCGATCGCCACGGCGCTGGCCATCCTGCTCATCCAGGGCCTGGTGGTGTGGAGCTTCAGCAGCCTGGAAGAGGACGACCAGGGAGAGGTAAGGGCAGGGCAGAAGTGGGTGGGCTGCGGCGCTCGGATCGCGCAGGAGGGCAAGGCAGCGGGGGCTTTGCGGGGGAAGGAGGGCGCAGGCAGCGGGGGAAGTTAGTGCCGCGGGCCGCCCTTGTGGGGCTCCCGCTCCCGGACGGGATCGGGTCAGCCCGAGGCGGGTCGTATGCGTGTGGTTAAAGGGGGATGGTGCTCTGCCGAGCGTAAGGGTGCCCGGCTGCGACGGAGGCTTGTGTGGTGTGCGCGCGTGTGTGTGAGGGGGAGGGAGGGAGGGAGGCGGGGAGGGAGACGTGATGCATGAGGGTCCGGCATGATAGCTGCCAGGAGCAGAGGGGCAACCGCGATGAGCTGGGTGGAGGATGCTTTGGGGGTGGGCTCCCTTACCCCAGCACTGGGGCTGACTGTGTGTTGGCAACTCTGGGAGCCCGCCACGCAGTGACGGTGTGCGTGGGAAGGTCGGGAGAGCCGAGCGGCAAGGCACGCTGTGGGTCCGCGATAGTTTTAGGAGTGGGTAACTCGTCCGTGCTTGTTTGCTTGCTTGCGTGCGTGCGATGTGATGGCATGGCAAGGCATTGTCTTAAGGAAGGAAGGGAAAGAAAGAAAACGAAAGAAAGTGCTTCGTACAGTGAACTGTGCCTTCAGGACTCAGCCAGCCCTGCCCTCCGCAGTAAATGCCAATAAATCCAGTGGAGCTTATTATAAAAGATCCTGGAGACGAGACCGCCAAGTTAGAGGAGCGCAGGCTGGAAGCTGATGTTGGGCGCGAGCGTGCCTGGGCATCGGGCCGCTCCCCTGGCCGGGGAGACCCTGCTGACGTGCTTGGGCTCGGGCCGGCTTCTGGGAGAACGTGCCTTTAGCATCCCCACGGAGGGAACGCAGCACAGCGGTCCGGGCTTGGCCACGGGGAATGGCCCCTTGCGGCACTTGGTCCGTTCAATGGGGGCCCGTTTAGATTAAGGGCGGGGAAACAGCAGCTCTGACACCCTCCTTCTGTCAAATGCCATCTGAGTGGTCTTCCTTGCTTGAGGGGGGCACTTGAGTTTGAACCCGGGACCTTGTTTGTGTGGGGGCAGGCTGGTCTCTTCACTGTGGGCTCGTGCTCATGTTGTGCCAGCCCGACCTGCTGTTTATTGATTTATTAATTATATTTGTATCCTGCCTTTTTCCTTTCAAGAAACTCAGAGTGGGTTACATAATTCTCCTCCTCCTCCTCCTCCTCCTCCTCCTCCTCTCAATCTTATCCTCACAACAACCCTGTGAGGTAGGTTGGGTTGAGAGCCTGTGACTGGCCCAAAGTCACCCAGTGAGCTCCGTGGCTGAGGGGGACTAGAACTTGGGTCTCCCAGATGAGATTCCATGAGCTAGTTGTTCACCAAACAAGCTGCAGTTTTCCTGACAGATGATGTTGCTTGTTGTGGCTTGTTTCCCGCTCTTCCTTCTCAGCCCTCCCACTGGGCTCAGCACAATTCACGGCAGAGCGTCTTGGTGCCTTGATCCCTGTGTCAGCACCCTTTCTGCAACTGTTGCACTAAGGTTGCTGGCTCCCATGCCCACCTTGGATCACCAAATGGAATTACTTTTAGAGGCCTTATGCATGCAGGAACAGACTGGACAATTCTTGGCAGCGGGATGTGGGGGGGGGGCTGTTGTGTAAGAGTGCACTGCTTACATCCAGCCTTCTGATCCCTTTCTTGTTAATGCCCTAATCAATATTTTCCTCCGTTTTGTGGAGCATGCCTTTTGAAGGTTAATTACTACATTTTACACTGAAGTAAGGACACCCCCACCCTTCCTGTTTACCACATGCCTCTCCTGTTAGCTGCCCTTTGCATCTCAGTATTTGTAATGTTTAGGGGCAGAGGGTGGAGGACACTGAGAAGGTTGAAGGAGGATGGCAGTGGCATGAGCAAGACTTTGAGGAGCGGCAGGTCTTTTTGCTGCTCTAGCTGGGCAGTTCTCTAGCTGTCCCCAGCAGTCCATGAGAAGACGGCCCAGCTGGGTTCGGATGACACACAAACCACTGTGGGTCTCAACAACCATACATCAAGCCATGGATTCTCAGGGTGGTTTGCTTGTGAAGAATAGGGCGCCTGCAGAAATTGTGCTGGGTTGTCATATTTTGTGAACTAGGTTTATTTTGGGGAGGTATAACATAGTAGGTGTGATGTGAGATAGTGTCAGGACAAGAGAGATGTTGGGAATGAAGAAGCGATTATTCTTGATGCACTTTCTAGGGCCAGGGTGGCACTGACTCTTTGGATGAGGACAGTGAGGCCTGGGAAATGAGGCCTGCAGGCAGAGATGGTGGGGAGGAAGAGTTCTTCTCAAGGCCACCTTCTCCAGGTGTTCAGGAAGACCTTGGAGATCGAAAGAGTTTGGAAGTGCCAGGAAGGGACATGGGAGAGGAACATGAGGAGCATGGTTTGATCCCTGACCCCATGATATGGGGTCAGGAGAGGAGGGCTAGCCAGTCAGAGGTGTAGACCTAGGAGGCTTCCCCATCTCCAGAGGGGCACATCCACAGGATTACTGAAAAGGAGAGATCTTGGAAATAGTTTCTAGTTTGGGGTCAACAAACTACTCTGTGCATGCTCAAAGACTGTTCTTTGGTTGGCTGTTAGTTGTTGACCATGTGTTGGAAATAAAGTGCCTTTTGCCAAAGAACTGTCTGTTGTCTGAAAGGAAGAAGTGGGGAACACAGCTCCGGACAACAGGAAATAAAGTTCATGAGACATTCCAGTGTTCCCCAGTCTAGCATGCCCCAGATATACTGGGCTTTTACTCCCATTAACCCAATCAGAAAGGAAACATGCCATCTGGGGATGATAGAAGGTGTAGTCCAACACATCTGGAGCATGCCGGGTTGGGGAATACAGTCATAAACCGTGAACTGATGCTACGAATAAAGAATGTCTGGGAGAATTTTTCTCATGTATAATTAAGAGCATTTGAAGTAGCCATCCCTGAACCAGATACCCTCCAGGTGGTTTAGACTTCAGTATCCATGTGCCCTAGCCTGAATGGGCAACAGTTGTAGCCTGAAAGATCCAGCAGATACCAGGTGGGGAGGGGAGTGACTGAAAGAGTGCTCTCAACTCCTCCATGGGGCAGGTGCTGCCCTACAATGAGCTGTTTGTATGTACAGACACAGCATGTGAATCCAATTGCATCCATTGTAACATGCAGCAAGCTGTGTTAAACTTTCATCTTGGATGTTCGCAGGGCTGACAATAAAAATCACCAAATCCCATGGGTCTGAGCTGCTGCAAGCAACCAACTCAGCACATAATAACCAGCACCCCATGCACCTATTCAAAGCATCTTCACTCCTGGCATGGAGATAAACAACTGAAGGCACAATCCTGAGCATGTTTAGGCAGAGGAAGGGCTTATAAACTCCTGGCATGTCTTGGCCAGGTGGGTGGGGAATGCTGGGAGCTGTAGACTTTTCCCTCTGTCTAAGCATGTGTAGGATTGCATCCTTAGCTGACAGCAATTAATGTGCACGAGAGCAAAGAGGGCTCTCTTTTGGGTGTACGAATTTGGGTAGTTGTGAGATTGCAGCTGACAGACATTCTCTGATCCCACTGTGATGCCATTTGTGCAGCTGAAGAACCAGTTCACATGACCATTTTCTCTCTACTTTCAAATTTGAAGTGCTTAGGATTCCCCTTCCCCTCAGTCAGTTCATGTTAGATACATACATGTCCTCGGACTCCCAGCTTAAGTTGACTTGTGATTGGAACCCATGCTGAGCCATTCACAGCATGAGTCTGCAAATCCAACTCGAGTTTACTAATTCTGTGGGGAGGGTGTTATAGCAGCGCTCACCAAATCAGCCTTTATGCATGAAATTATAAATAGCATTTCTGAATATTTTAGAAAGGCTAATTTGTTACATAGGAGAGAAGTGAAGTAGTACAAGTTAGATTATGCTGCTGTTCCTCGACTGTTTTGACCCTGAGCAAATAATGCAAATCAGATCAGTGTATAAACTGGAATAATTTTATTGACTTGGCCACCAATTTGCATGGCTTTAAAAGGGGATTGAACCAATTCATGCAGGAGATGGCATGCACTGCGACTAGTTTTGTTGGCTGTGTGTGACCTCCATCATCAAAGGTGGTATGCCTGTGTACACCAGATGCTAAGGAGCTTGGGCCAGTGAAAGCCATGTACCCAGCCTGCTTGAGGGATCCTGTGGGCAACTGGTTTGCCACCATTTGAAAAGAGTGCTAGACTCTCTGATCAAGAATAACTTTTCTTATATTCTTATGACTTAAAATAAGAGAACATGATGCCTGTTGGTTTAATGCTTGTAAGGACAATCATGTTAGGGAAAGTTGAAGGCTGAAGAAGAAAAGGCAGACCAAGTAAGAGATGGTTTCAGCTCAGTAAAGGAAGCCAGAGCCTTGAATTTAGAACAGCTAATTGGGGAAGTCACTGATAGGACATTTTGGAGGGTTTTCATTCATAGGGTCACCATAAGTTGGAGACGACTTGACAGCACGTCACAACAAAACCAAGCTGAGCGCCCAAAGTATTGGAGTTACCTGTTGCTGATTTGTGAAGGTCCATTCTTTTCCTGATGTTCTTGATCAGCTTTAAAGAGGTTTTTCCACCCATATCAGGAGAGTCCCAGAGTCTCCTGATACTCAATGTATAAATCAGATAGTCTGTCTTAAGTTAGATTTGCTATTTTTATGTAAGAAAATTAACTGTCTGGTTTAGATGGGCTAGATTTCTCTTTTGTCAGCCACAGGAATCACTAACATGTATCTGACATAGCCCACGTCGTAGGCTAATTGGCAAGAGATCTGTTTTCACTCTGGTTTGGAAACTCACATGCTCTGGGCATCTTAAGAATGTGTTCCTGCAAAGCTGAAGGAAAAAATCCTCTGAAACACTCCACCCTTGTCCATAAATAGATTGTAGTTGGCTGGCAGATACCTTGCATTTTGTTTCCCAGTTCTGTGAACCAGAATATAATCT